AGTTTGGGCTTTTAGTTCGTGTTTCCTAGGTCTTTTATCGAATTATTTAATTCGTGCCTCACTGTTTGGTAGCCAGAGACTCGTCTGCTCTAGAGAAAGAGAACAAAATCAAACATTGATCACAACCGGGGTAAAAATTACAATAAGATAACTGCTTCTAAAAAAGTTGCACCTGTGATTTCATAATTGATAATTAACGTCTGAAACAGGCCCATGCATTTACACCACCATGCAAAAGGAGTTTCTCCTCAACCATTGTTAGAAAGATAGAAGTTTTCGTTTTACGAATATCATCCCTGATTGACTGCTTACTTCGGAAGCCACAAAATAAAAAAACAAAACAAAGATGTTGCTGATTTAGTAACATTTCCATTATGCTGTAAAAACGATGTTGAAATTAAATAATTTTAAAAGTATAAACCATGGGTAGGCAAATCACGGAAGAGCTCAAATAAAAAAGAGTTGTTCAGAAGGTCTAATGTGGTATTGGGTACTTATTGTTTTCATGCATTTATGCCCCATGCAGCATCTTTTTACCAAAGCTGATAGAAAAGGACCTTTTTTCACAAAAAGCAGCGTCCAAATTAATAGGACCATTGAATTTTGTATCAGAATTTAAGGCGAATGTTTTGACCCATAAAACGATCAAAGACTAAAAATCAATTTAAATCTTCAAGTTTGTTATCAGTATGGTAAGGAAAGCGTACGAAAAAACACTGAAGTCAACGTATTATATGTAAATTGGATCCTGGATTCGATCAACCGTCTTATGGTGAAAAAGACCGAAGGAATCTGTTTTCAGGTTTTTCTGTCGAGATTCAAAACTTAGCCTAACGTAGGGTCGTCACATAGAATGTAAGTGTGAAATATGCCGTGTACGTGAAAGAAATTAAACCAGAGCTAATATTTGATCTACCACATTGCAGAACTTCCTTACGTAAATTATTGCAGAAGGGACTTTTCACAGATGAAAATAGACACGTTTGCAAATTGATATAAAATACAGAGGACTCATCTCAGCACACGAAAAATAGAACAATGGTCGTGCGACCTAGAGTTTGGACCTGCTACAAACTAGACCGAAAGTATGAGGCCTGCTTTCCTAATAACACTTTTGGTTTAGGCTTGGACCTAGAAACAGTTGTTATCGGCGGTGGAAGCAGCTGAAAGTGAAGACCCATGATAAAATTGTGAAACATGTCTGAACGAAATTCAAGTCCTGTTATATGAATAATAAATGAATGCCTCGTCATAAGTTATTGCATCATTCCTCGGTGAAACATTCTTGTTTTTCTACTTGTCTAGAAAGTAAATGAACAAAATCAGATAGTATGAATCACCAGTCTACAATCCTCGGCTTCATTCTCTAAATCACTTTTCACAGGGTCAATATCCAATAGCTGTAAAGCCGATCATGAAGTTCGTAGTTATCATTGTCGTGTCGGTTTGTGCCAACTTGTATTTCTGTACGGCAGAAAATACTTCAGGAAATCAAGTAAGATGATCTACCATTCTCTAATTTTTCTCAACTAAATTCTCTTATTTTATGATTAAAAGGTCCATTTCTTTTACGATATAGTGTAGTGTAAAGCGGTTTTCCATTATTACACCCGCGACTTGCATCCGGGTTGATTGAAATAAGAGAGCGAGCAAAGAATGTTGTGACTGAGTGTTATGGAGGCCACAAATAAGCTGTGTTCTTTTAAAGCCTCTGTGGCGGGTTTTCTATACTAGATATAGTCCGTGTGCTATTATTTGCTTGCCCTTTAACTTCGATAGATAAAAAAAGAAAAAATCGATCGCACGCCCAAAGTGTGATCCCAAAATATTTTAGAGTTGATATTAGTTCCCAAAACACTAATAGCGACAAATGTGGGAACAATAGCTTCACTTATCGCAGCTTGTGGTTTTGGTTGCCTTTTTGTGTACATTGGCCTTATAGTTCGTATTTCCTTTAATCGAATTATTTATTTACAATTTGTGCCTTACTTTTGTTAGCCGGAGACTCGTCTGCTCTTGAGAAAAAGCGCAAAATCAAACATTAATCACAACCGGGGTTAAAAATGCTAAAGATAACTGCTTCTAAACAAATTGCACCTGTGATTTCATAATTGATAATTAACGTCTGAAACAAGCCCATTTACACCACCATGCAAAAGGAGTTTCTCCTCAACCATCGTTAGAAGGATAGTTTTCGTTTTACGAATATCATCCCTCATTGACTGCTTTTCCGAATTAGAATTCGGAACCCAGAAAATAAATAAGACAAAAATAAACAAAGATATTGCAATTTAGTAACCTTTCCATTATCACGCTGTAAAAACGATGTTGAAATTGTGATCATAAAAGGGGTTAAAATAGGATATTAAATAATAGTAATAGTTTAAACCATGGGTAAGCAAATCACGGAAGAGCTTAAATAAAAAGAGCTGTTAAAAAGACCTAATGTAGTATTGGGTACTTATCGTTTTCATGCATTAATGCCACATGCAGCTTCTTTAGACCAAAAGTTTATAGAAAAGGATCTTTTTTCACAAAAAGCAGCGTGCAAATTAATATTAGACCATTGAATTTTGTTACAGAATTTAAGGCGAATGTTTTGACCCATAAAGCGATCAAAGACTAACAATCAATTTATTAGGTTGAGTTTGATCGTCCGGGTGAACGTAGTCCTGAATAGGACTGTTGTTGTTGACAGTGACTGACGTTTCAACAACCTGTGCGGTACTCATCTTCAGAGTCATCTGAAGATGACTACCGCACAGGTTGTCGAAACGTCAGTCACTGTCAACAACAACAGTCCTATTCAGGACTACGTTTACCCGGACGATCAAGCTCAACCTACTTTTCTAATGACTCCTGGGTTCAAACCTTTCACAATCAATTTATTATAAATCTTCAAGTTTGTTATCAGTATGGTACGGAAAGCGTACGAAGTCAACTTATTATATGTAAATTGAATCATGGACTCGATTAACCGTGTTGTGGTGAAAAAGACCGAAGGAATCTATTTTCAATTTTGTTGTCGACATTAATTCAAGACTCAGCCTAAAGTAGGGTCGTCATGCACATAGAAGGTAAGTGTCAATATCCCATGTACGTAAAAGTAATTAAACCAGAGCTAATATTTGATCTACCACATCGTAGAACTTCCTTAGGTAAATTATTGCAGAAGGTAGTCATTCACAGATGAAAAAGGACACGTTTGCAAATTGACCCAAAATACAGATCTAGTTCTTGGACCTGCTACAAATTAGACCGAAAGTATAAGGCCTTCTTTCCTAATAACACTTTTAGGTTAGGCTTGGACCTAGAGACAGTTGTTATCGGTGGTGGAAGCAGCTGAAAGTGAAGACCCATGATAGAATTCTGAAACATGAACTTGAAATTCATTACAAGTCCTGTTGATGTGACTGATATATGAATGCCTCGTCATAATGTATTGCATCATTTCTTGGTGAAAAGTACTTGACATGTTTTTCTACTCGTATGAAAAATGAATAAACAAGATCAGATAGTATAAATCATTAGTCTACAGTTCGCGGCTTCATTCTCTAATCCCTTTTCACAGGGTTAATATCCAAGAGCTGGCAAGATCATGAAGTTCGTGGTTATCATTGTCGCGTCAGTTTGTGCCAACTTGTATTTCTGTACGGCAGGAAATACTTCAGGAAAACAGGTAAGATAATCCACCATTCGCTAACTTTTCACAACTTAAGTTTCTTATTTTATGATTTAAAAGTTCATTCTTTTACGATATAGTCAGGGGCACCCAACGCCAATTTTCGGAAAATATCTGTTCGGAAGACGATTTGCGATCTAGAATTTTCGGAACATTTGTTGTAAAATTTCTTGCTTGCCTACATCTCCTAGGATTTTCGAACATCTAAAAAATAGCATAATTGCCCATTTTTGACGGATTGTTACCCTAAAAAGGTCACCTAGAATTTTTGGGAGCCTTTTTTCTGGCTGAAATTATCGAAAAGGTACGTTTTGATCCCTATAATTTGAGAAAAACACAAGTTTTCTGGCACCAATCAGAAGCCAGAACGGCGGCGACCTTCTGGAACTTGTCTGGTAAGACATTGACCCCAGGGGCTCTTCTCGCCGTTCTTTACTTTTCTTCGCGCCACATTTTTCCGCCCGTTTAGACTTTCCCTCGTCCCCACTATCTGCCCCTGGGTCTCTGAGGATGATATCAACCTGATGCTAGGTAAGATTATTGTCTCAAATTTTACAAACTTTAATTACTTGCCAAGGAGCAATGGTGAACAATACAATGATGCTTTCTTCAGTTTATTAACAATTATTAATTTTACAACATACCTTTTGTGGGAAACATGATCCAGTTACCCAGTTCCTTTTTTTATGAAGAAATGGGGATAAGACTGCTTTCCCCCCAGGGGTCTGAGATACAATTTTTGGGCGAATAAAAATCCCTAGGTGATTTGTATCAGACATAATATACCCTGCGCCTGCCAGGAGCCGATTGACCCTACTTATGAGCTCGGCTGGGGGTCAGGAGAGCAATTGAGGGGAGCAGGTTGGAAGGAAACATCCCCGTACTCGACCCAGCCGTCTTCAGGGCTGCCTGTATCACAGATTGAAAAAAACATCATTGTCATATGTATTCACCAGGTTTAAAATTCACTATCTCATCTTAGTCATTGCGTATAAAATCATATACGAATTACCGACCCCCAGGCGTATCAGGCTTTGATGAATTTAATTGCAATGTGCTTTTGTTCACGACTTGATATAAGATTCAAACAAAAGAAAAGAAAAAGGAAGAATTGAAAGAAGTTGCAGTCTAATACAAAGACGGACACACCCAGAGCTTGTGCTTGCATTTGTCTCCCGCCCACTCTATTATTAATAAGTAGCTTCTGTCTTTGTGATAACGCCTCCTTAGCCAAACGACTCGCTAAAGTACATTTTTCCAACTTTGTCTACTTTATGTCCCTAAGAGTTACAATATTAAAGAAGCCGTTAAAAAACAAATGGACCGAGCACAAACTTCCCGCAGCAAGGTGAGACGTAATTTATTACACAGTGAACAATGAAATAAACGACCACACAGACAGACTAAACGTACAGAGACAGACAGACAGACAGACAGACAGACAGGGGGTGTACAGATAGACAGCATAGGCACTCAGAGAGATCTGATGGATAGATAAGTGACTCTCTAACAATTTAGAACTTTCCTTAGCTTGTGTCTTACAAAAATGCGCAGTGACAGACAGATCGAAAGAAGTGTCCTACAGACACTGAGATCAAGAAAGGAATAGACTATGAATATCCGACAACACGTAAAGGGAAATGAGATTGGAAGCAGCCAATTTAACAGACAAACTTGTGGTCACTTTTGAATCGATTGAGGTTGTCAGACCGATAGAAAACCTTCGATTACGCGGTCCTTCTTCCTTTTACTTTGATTTGGGAGGAAAAATAAGTCAAGACAGGGACATCAATGAAGAAATGACTGTCTTTGATAGCAACTCTGTTGATATACAAAGTATCTTGGTATCTGGTAAGAAAAACATCAGATAGTCTAATAATATTCTGACTGAGTTCTCAACCTAGGGGACAGGTTTTAGGAGCTGTTAGAGAGACAGACAGTTAAATCGAACAACTTCCTTGTTATTGGTAGGAAAAACCGTGCCAAGAAAACGCAAACAAGACCAAACCTCGATCTTGCGTAGACCATCTAAAGAATGGTGCAGACAAGTGCGGGTACTACAAGATTTACGATGCTGCAGGGAATGGATTCACCGTGTACTGTGACATGGAAACAGAACCTGGGGCGGCCTGGACACTTGTCACGTCTTGGAGCTTCAAAAACAAGCTATTCTCGAACTTTAGGTACTTTTCAAATGAGCAAAATAAAAGTAAAATTGTGTGATAATCGCTGTTACTGCACTCATCTGTCCCCACCCCCACCCCCCTTTGTGGTTATCTGAAGTCGCAGTGTCACCTCAAACGAGAATTGGAAAAAAACGGCCATAGGCTGAGGGTACTCTTGCGGAGCCTTTTTTAAAGCAAAAACATCTCACATCTCTGACTTTAATAATTGCATTAAAAAAAGAAAAGGAAAGGAAAAAAGAAAACATGCATGGCTATTTGTATGTCTAACGGGCTCATGATGACATTTAATAATAATAATAATAATAATAATAAATGTTACTTAACTTTGAACAATTTTGTTTTCATTGACAGGACAACTCCCTTGTCAATCAACGATCCTGTGAACGAAAACTCCCCTAACTGGTTCCTTTACCGGCTGACAGTGGACAGAATGAAGTCTCTGAGGGACGTATCCACCCACTGGAGAGCCACCTGCAGTTATGACAAGTACGGCATCAACAACTACAAAGATTACGTCCGTGGAAAGTTTGCGGAGGCCGACATCTTTGCCTTCCTTGGTGCTGGTGTTTGCCTTAAGACCGAGCTTGTCAACCTTCGTGGTCATATTGGAATTCACAAGACTGCCAAGTTCTGGCAGGTTGCTGCTACTTACACGCCTCATATCGACAGTT